ACTTTTTCTAACAAGTCAGAACGAAATCTCCATTGATGGGTCCATGGGTTAGTAGTGACCAGCACCTAATTGTCCACCTGTGTACAACCCTCATGAAGGGGGTGCTGGGATGTGTTCAGGGCTCCACCTGGGAGACAGGAAAGCTCCACCCCGGAGTCAGAGTGGAGGCCAGCGCAGCAGGGAGCTGCGGATTGGAAAAAACCCCAGTGTGCAGGTTAGCACACGACTGTGACTGCCTGGAGGTACATACAGCGGTCTGAGGCCGGAGCAGCGGTGCTGCAAAATGCAAAGCCAGGAGGCTGGATGGGCATGTGCTGCCATGAGATGGTAAAGAACCCCTGCGAGGGTAATTGTTCTTTTTTGTGAACTGTCATTTAATAAAAGTGGGCAAGGAAGCCCTGAAATGAAGATTTCTGCGAGTGGATGCGTCCTTGATGCGCTACTGTTTGGAGCAAATTCTCACATTATAATATTCATATAATATTTTTTTTTTTTTACCAAGTCCAACATTTTTTTCCTCCTTGGAAACCAAGAGGTGAAATCCTCTCCCGTATCTCTCACAATCTTCTCTGAAACTCTGATTTTCTGTATTCATTTCTGTGCTGATGATAAAGCTCTGGACACCTTTGAAGAATTCTCATAACAGAAATTGCATAGACGACTTATGATACGTCATACATCATTCTCTTTTAATGGCTTACAGAAAACTTCCCTGACTAAGCAGATTCAGCTGTAAATGGCGCCTTTCCTCGTGCTGAGGGATACCATGTTTGCTTCCCCATGAAATAAGAAACAGTAGAAGTTTTGGATTTTACTCTAGACCAGGGATGGCCAAACTGCGGCCCTCCAGCTGCGGTGGAACTACGAATCCCATGAGGCTTTGCAAGATTCTCACAGTCACAGACATGACTCCCAGAGAAAGATGCTTCATTGGATTTGTTGTTTCACCACAGCTGGAGGGCCGGAGTTTGGCCATCCCTGCTCTAGAGGATACTGGTGCTGGAACAGATACAAACTAAAGCAGTGTTAATTTTGAAAGCAAATTTCACTTTCGTCTTAGTCTTCTGAGGAAAATTAATTTTTATTGTTAGTCGCATTTTAGTCATTAGATAATTTTTATTTTAGTCTAGTTTTAGTCGACTTAATTCAAGTCGCTTTTAGTTGACTAAAAAAGCTAATAGGTTTATTTCTAGTGTAATGCATTATTTAAGCAATTCTCTGGCATTTCCAAACTCTTTTCATTACATATTCCTGAAATAAATCTCAATTAACCAGTTATTAGTTTGGTCATGGCCGGATTCAAGCATTAGTGAAATAAATGAACTTTGCACGATATTCTAATTATTCGAGTTTCACCTGTATAAGGTTAGTAAATCAACCCCTTAGTGTCGTGGTTGAAGTTGTAGAAAGAGTTAGTGTGAAGGACGCCTTCAGGTAGGCCATCTCCCTCTTTGACTTCACTGAAAACTACTAGTATTGATCTTCTGGTGCCAAACTCTAATGTATCTGTACATTTAGGGTGCATTTTATAGGCGACTATACTGAGTTCTCTGGAGTTTGAATGGTACCAGACAGACACGACCAAAATTCAACCATCACTGTAACATTTTTAGTTGTTTTTTTAAACTGTTTAGGAAGTTACAATGTTTAATAAAGTTCTTGTCTATTCTATGGTCCCAAGTTTTATCTAGTGAGCAAGAGATTGATTTTCCGTTTGTGGCAATACTTGGCAATGCATGGCCACGGAGTATGCTGGCAACATGATCACCCAGGACTCTCAGCCGGAGGGGCTGAGAGGTTCCAGAATGAAAATAGATTTGCTGGGAAGAAGCCGGCCTTTCAGTTTCTTCTGGTTTTTCTGGATTGTAGCCGGGATCTGGATCTCTGGACATTTCTTAGCGTTCTGGGTGGGATGAAATCTTCAGTCCTGAGGTCAGATCTTGCTGGTGATCAGGTGGCAGAGAGCAGCTTCATTAAGAGGCCAGACCAGAGCTCAAAGGAGGAGTTGGTGTGGTGTGGGCTGCAGGCACATGAGGGCTCCTGCTGGGAAGAGGGACAGGTTGTGTCTAGGAGTCAGACGGACTCCACCCAGAAGCCAGAGTGGAGCCAGGAGGTTGTGTGTACACTGGAGGCACCAGGGAATCAGCCAAGCAGGCTTAGTGAATCTGTGACACACAAGGGATTTGTGGAAGAGTCGCATGGAGAGTATGTGACAATCTTGAGTTGGTGAGACATTGTTATATTGTCTACTTCCTGAAATATAAGCAGACTGCATGTTGTGTCACCCCCATGTAGGCTGTACCTTCTTGCACCACAGTGGGGTGAGAAGATGTTAAGGGGCATGACTGTCAGCATTGTCACTGCCAATTCTCAAGCCTGTAACTTTCCATTCAGCACCCAACCACACCTAGTCCCACCCACTGCTTTCTAGATTGACAGAACTGCTGAAATCCTCCCACTGTGAGCAGCAGTGTCTGGAAAGGGAATTATGTGAGGCACAAATAAAGGTTTGGCTCAGGGTAGGTAAAGGAGGTTTTGTCTTTGGATTCAGGATCTGCTCATACTGCCACACAGGAGTCGTTAGATGATTTGGGGGGAGCCTAATTTAATAATTGGTTTCATCCATTAATGTTGGCAAAGATGTAAGGCATTCTGATCTGATCTGTTTCACTTTTTTAGGGTTCTTTTGAAGTCTCTTCAATAAAAATTGTTTACAAAATGTTTGTAGCAAGTTTTATTGGTGAACACTCTATTTCAGGGACGTGCGGTCAGGGGAGGCAGGTGGGGAAGAGCCTCTCCTAGTATTATGGATGAAAAAGCTGTCAGCTTCAAGTCTGAAGCTGACAGCTTTTTCTCCATTCAGATCGGCTTCTATCAGGTTACACAGCATGGAAATCCTCCCCGCTGTGTAACCTGTCATGGACAGAGTGCTGCTTGTTAGGCTCTGTTCACACCTAGGCGTATCGAATATGCGCGTTTGTCGCGCGTTTCGTGACGTGCGTTACCGCGATTCGTGGTAAAAAAACACACGACAAACGCGCGTTTCCGAGGGCTACTTGGCTGCATCCCAATGGAAACGCGCAACAAAAATGCCGCAAAGAAGCTCGTGTACCTTTTCAGGCGTAGGCCGTTTTGTAGCGCGTTCAGGCGGGCTGAAATACGGCAAGGTGTGAACCATACCCATAGGAAACAATGGGATTTTCATGTTTGAGCGTTTTGTAGAGCGTTCGTAGAGCGTTGAACGGGCTACAAAACGTACAGGTGTGAACCAGGCCTTCATTACAGACAGCGCTGCATCCGGCTTTTGACCGGTAGTTAGGTTACACAAAAAAAGCAAAAGACCTTCTATTGCAAAGGAAATTTAATTCCTAGTACACATAGTATTCATATCACAAGAATCATTTTATACACGGCACGTCATTTTATACACGGCACTTCATTTTATACACGGCACGTCATTTTATACACGGCACGTCATTTTATACACGGCACGTCATTTTATACACGGCATTGAAGATAACGGGGTTGATTTACTGAAGGAAAATAGACATATCACTTTGCAAGGGAAATCTCCCTTAGCTTAGTGAATGTTAGTGAAGTGAAAGTTAGTGAAAATTTACTTTGTAAAGAATACCCAATCCTGTGCAAGGAAAATTTAAAAAAAAAAAAGGTAATTTTTTTCTTTCATGCGATTGGATCAGGAAAGTCAGCAGAGCTTCATCATATTCATTGAGCTAAGGGAAAATTCCCATGAAAAGTGAACAGCCTATTTGCCTTCACCCTCCACCCTTTCATGGAATGCAGCGGTTCTAGACTCAGGACCTACATCATATGAGGTTTCAGCAAAAACCAAAAAACAGAAGGGTTTTATATAAACAAATTATTTATTGGTGAATATACAACACATTATGGCTGAATCTAACATTCACCCCATTATAAACAAAGAACACAGCAATTTACCCTGACCCCCAAATCTTAACTTAACACCATAGTATAACACCTAACTCTCAGGATTAATAACCTAACCCCTTGACATAGCACAACCAGGGCTGGATTTCCCACAAGGCCAACCAAGGCCCGGCCTTGGGGCAGGAGGTAGTAGAGGGGCAGCAGAGGTGTGGAATTCCTGTCTCCCAATGCCCAGGACATGCAGTTCCGGGCGCAGGGCGGGTAGTTGTTTTCTACATATAGCCCTGCTTTGGGCAAGCAGCCGCTTGTTTTGTACAAGTGATCTCAGCAATTTCGCTGAGATCACTGGCAGGACTGCCATTCTCCATGGGGGGGGAGGGGGGGAGGGCAGGTAGGGTGCCCATTGAGTAACCTGGCCTTGGGGCAGCAGAGAGAGTAAATCCGGCCCTGAGCGCAACAACAATGTTTTAAAAAAATTAGACAAAATGTTGGCCTCAAACACAACTGATAAAAGAGTTGAGTACTAGCTGCAGGGTAGGATAGCCCTCAAATTGAATATAAACGGGTCCAGTTTAACTGAACTGAAATGAGATTAGCTGAAGCTCAGATGTTGGGTGGCTGCCACCATTGCAGAATCCAATACACTCCTGAGACAGGTCTCTACACTACAGTAAAGTACAAATGTGTCTCGCTGCACTCCTTACCGGTTTGTAGTTTAACCTGTGGAGTCCAGGTGGGTGCTTGTAGTGACCACGGATGGCACCGTGAAGTATAAACTGAATTCAAGGATGTCACCAGCACTCCAATAGTTAAGTGAAATTAGTCCATTTAATGACAGAACAATGCAATTGCATTTGGATGGCATTTTTTTGTCATTAAATGGACTCATTTCACTGGTGTGCTGCTGGCATCCTTGTATTCAGGTCTCTACACTTGGGACAAAATTCCTTTAATAATTCTCTTCCCCTCCCAACCAGTTACATTATTTGCACATATAAAAACCTTCTAATTAAATAGTAAATTTAATAGTGTTTCTATTATTTTCCATTAAATTCCCGGGTTAGTGACGGATATTTGGAAAAGATATGAGGCTAGCTCACATTGAACACTTTCTTTAGACTGTTAAGAGCTTGATCTTTGGTGATTTTCTTCCAGTCTTGCGGAAGTTTGGCTGGTCTTGCATCGTACTCTTCTGCAAATTGCTGGTTAAACTGCACAAAGATGTGTTTCCAGTAGTCTGAGGACTCAATGCTGGGGTCAGGCTGAATGGCCCAATTTGGAAAATAAGTACGGTACTCTTTGTATGGATGATATTCCCCCATTGTGTGAGAACATCTAAAGTGTCTGTCAGAAACAACAAGAGTGGAACAGATGTCAGTGATCAAAATCCTAGAATTCACTTTTCTCCACTCTCCCAATCCTGAGGATCTGTGGATGGATGAAAAGTGCTCCCTATGGTCACCACCTCCGGCCTCACAGGGTACTTTACAGAATGGACACTGCTTGCCACATCCAACCACCTTCCTGACCAGTTCATAATGAGGCTTCAGTGTAACTCTGGAAAGCACAGACTCAATATCCAAAAATCCCAGTTCTGTTATCATTTGTTGCTCTGTCTCTTTGAGGAAGTGTTGAACGTCAGTTGAAAACTGCTCCACCGTAGCCGTGTTATGGAAAATGATCACCTTCATCTCCTTCTGTGATATTACCAGTTCATTTTGTAACATTTCACAGACATTTTCTAAAAATGATGATACATCAGGACTTTGCAAACATGCTTTGTCTTTAAGTACAGTGTGAATTTCCCCCATTATGAAGGACAGAATATTTTTGCATATTATTTCCACAGTTGTTGAGCTCTTGTATTTGTTACAAATGTAACTTATTATCCATGATTCTGAAAATTTCTCATATGAGTGAATGTATTCTACGTATTTTTTAAATGACATTTCTTCCAATAATATTTCTAGCATGTTACACTGAAAAAAGCTTCTGCTGCTGAAGATGATATTTTCGGAGCTTTTTAAAATGTCATCCACTATCTTTTCTCCGAGATGTCTGAAGACATAGTCAGTAATTGCTGGTTTGAGACAACGTTCACAGAATTGTCTGGCTCTGCTCTGACTTACATCTTTCTCTTGAAATACGCTGAGAAATGTTGATAAATAGTGAGGTTTCAGGCTCTCCAGGGAGGCTCGTGGGTCATTATTTTTGATAAATGTGTCGTGCATCTTTTGAAAGTTTTGGGCAGCATTTCCAAGAATCATAAGTTTGATATCTAGCTCAAATTCTACAGAAAATGGCAGATTGCTGCTTTTCAGTTGTCCATTAATCATGTGCAGTAAATCCTGGCAGTGAGTTTTGTCATAATCCTCTGAAGTGTCAGCTTTTTCTTTCACATACATTTTACATTTATCTATTACTGAGACAGCAAATTTCTCTACCTTTTCATATGTTTCACTTTGTAGGCCAATTATGTTCTTGAAACGACACCAGAAAGAATAATCAATATACTTTTCGTTCATTTTAAAACTACGCTTTCCGTGGCTTGTTAGATTTTTTATGTTTATTAATTTTTTATTCACCTCAGACCCTTTAGTGTTCAGGTCCTGTCTCAGTTGCTGTAAAATTGCTTGGTCAACATCACGTGTAACTAATTTCTTTATCTGTAACTCTGTCAGAGTTTTCTCCCACAAGGACTCAAATTCCTGTAGCAATTTCTCATCCTTTAGTTTAGAATTCTTAATTCCACTGTTTTTCAGGAGGTTGCTGATTTTCTCTTCGATTATCTTCTGATATTGATTCTGGATTTCCTGGATCTCAAACTTCCCTTTCTGGATAGAAATGGCCTCACTACATTTAGTCTGAGCCTTTCTTTCCTGATCTTTTCTTAGGGAATGTACGCTCATTCTGAAATCTTCCCGATATCGTTCTATAAGATGAACGTTTTCAGACTTACTCTCATAATATTGCTCCAACAAATCCAAAATGTTGTTTTCCTCCTCAGACACCAGAAATTGAAGTTCTCTCATGTACTCTTCATAGGTTTCCGTGTCCATATTCTCAGCTGACTGGTTTCTTATATTATTTTCTGTCCTGATGACAAAGTTGTAGACTTTTTTGGAAAATTCCCATTCCCACTGAGAAAACTGCATAGACAATTTATTATAAGCATCAGCTACCAGACTGTTCCGAAAACTGAAGATGAACTTTTCGTGTTTCACTGCTCTCCACAAACTTTCTATCCATGTGATAAATTCACCAATCTTGCAAGATGCATTCTGGGATTTCATGAATTCAATCAAATGCTGCTTTAGCTTATTGACATTTTCACTGTAACCAGAGTTCACTGGAGCCATTGGTGGGACCCCCTGCCAGAGTCCAGGAATGTACCAGCTGTGTGTATCCAGATCATAGTCCAACACATCATTGAAGGAGGTGATTCCAGCCTTCTTCTCCATTTTTGCAGCTGCTTTGGTCATTTCATCCAGCTGTTCCAGAAGTTTTCTCCTGTCTCTCATATTCTTTTCATGAGCGGACACATCACTCACATTCTGATGTACAAACTGACAGTTGGGTTTCTTCCCAATTTCTTTCATCCGAAGAAAAGCATGAACCACAATCTGTAAAATATCCTTCATTTCTGTTGTGTTCTCCATGGCCATATTGATTATGGTGATATCACTCAACCCGACCACTAGTGTGGCCAGTTCATTGTCATGTTCATAGCTGTCCTCCAAAGAGGCCAACTCTGGAGCTTTCAACCCTTCTGTGTCAATCACCAGGATAAAGTGACAGCCCAGTTCCTCCTGGAAGTTCTCTTTCACATTAAGAAGAGTCATGAAGGCTCCTCTTGTGCATCTTCCACTGGCCACTGGGAACTGAAGACCAAACATGGTGTTCAGAAGGGTGGATTTCCCCGTACTCTGCACTCCCAGCACAGTTATTACCCTTATTTTACTTTTTCCTCCTGTCTTGGTATCCAGCTCAGTGAGGACATCAGTTACCCATTTTATTGGGATGTTGGAGGCATCTCCATCGATAAGCTCCAATGGAAATCCATCCAAGAGAAGATCAGCAGCAATCCCTGGAAGTCCTGTAAACTGGGCTCTATCTGCTGCAATATTGTTTTCTTTAAGCATAGAACATTCAGCCTCATAGAACTGTCCTAACTCACGCAGGAAGTGTTCAATTCCTAAAGAACTGTCCGAGATTTTTTGGTCTACCTGCTTGAGTTCCTCTGGATTATCTGATCTACTTCTTTCTTTGTATTCCACCTGTAAAGAAGACATATTCCTCCTAGCAATTAAATCAAGTTCTAATTTCATCCACTTCAGGAAATATTGTTTCTCTACCTGAGATAGATTAGTGATTGCAGATATAAACAACATCATAGCATCAGTCAAATCATGCTGGTTTTGTTCCTTGTGCAGTGCAATGCGTTGCTCTTTTAAATGAGACTGATATTCTTCTGTACCCATTTCCCCTTGGTTTGTCATTCTACAAAGTTCTTTCTCTACTTTGGACAGTTCTTTCCACAGATTCCCCTGCAGTTTCAGCATTTCTTTTTTAAACACGTTCACGTCTTTGATCATTGAGGTAATATTACATGCACATGCTCTTGCTTTCTGACACTCAGCAAAGTTCTCATCTACATCAATCTGGAGCCCATGTGTTTGTAATTTCATACTCTCTAGTGCCAGTCTTGGGGGCTCTTTTCCTAATAAGCTTCCAATGAGGTCCTGGATCTTTTCCACAAATTCAGCATCATTTGAATTGTTTCTTTTACCTATAATTTGATCTGCGCTAACATGTAATGTTTCCATTAGATGCTTTAAAAATGTTTGCATTTTTGAGTTAATTTTTTTGCCTGACCCTGGTGTAATGATGAAGTAATACTGGGTATCAGTGTGTTTCAAGGATGATAACAGTTTGAATTGCCTCTCAGAAATACTCTCAATGAATATAAATACAGCTGATGAGATTCGAGTCAGAAACGTGAACTGGTCCAAGTTGTCCTCCAGGTCTCCTCGTAGGTTGGTCACTGCGATGGGCTCCGGGTAAACATCAGAATTCCCACATGGAAAGTACCAAGACATTTCCACCAGTCCATCAGATATTTTCCTTTTGACGTTTCCGCCATCCATATCATGGTGGATAAAGAAATTGTGCTGTTGCTGAGCTGGATTTAGAATCTGGTTCAGGATTTTAGATTTGGACAATTTACTTTTCCCTAATCTGACAAAAGAGAAGATCGGCATTAGAATATTAGCAACGTTTTCTTCTCTGAATCCTTTACTGTCTGCTAGTGACTGAGGTCTCCACTTCTTCACAATGTCTCTTATTGCCCACAACATGAAGGTGCAGTGTGACCCGTCACCAACTGGGGGGAGCAGTAGAGGAACAGCATACTGACACATGGACAATTTGGTTACAATCTCTTGTTGCAGAAAACTGTCTGAACAATGGAAGAGAACACACAGGACATCCAGGGGGTGAATTGTGCTTGATGTGTCATCTTCAGCTTCGAACATATTAAACACGTCAATATTGACTGGAGTAGATGATTTTTTCTTGAGTTGGGTATTTCGGGAGATCCTTTTCAAAGCCATGAGGTTCCTCAAGAAGTACAACGGAATATCTATTAAATTGTGAGGCTGATCGTCTCTCAGGCTCTCTGACCCAATGCTCAGAATATCACTCAAAGCCACCTTTGAAGTCAAGTGATTTTTCATATCTAGCTGTCCCACAAGTTCCTGGAAAGGGTTTTTCTTGCCTGTAGGTAGAAAAGAAATACAAATTTTAACAAACCTGTTTTATAAAATGGCGTGCTTTTGAAATCACCATTTCTAAAACGATCACTAAGAAGACCTAAAAGATGTTCATATTTATGTTCTTACTCTTTAAGGAAACCAAATGCACGATAGATAACTGGGAATTCCCTGTGCTGACTTTTTAATAAAGCTGTCAATTCCCAGTCTGTCCTCCCTACTCTTTTATCATTACTGGATCACCAACACAGCATAGGCATATGTTTGCATGAAAATGAAGGATGATGACAGCCCTGGAGCTTGCACCTTCAGAATAAATAAACAATGGCAGCTCTCATAATTTTTGTACTAACATACAATGTATAGATTAGCAAAAAGATGGAAACAGAGGTCTGCCAAATAAATGCACTACTGACTTTGGTTCTGCTATTTAACTTAATTAGGTCTCTCCTTCCTGTAAGTCTACACAAGTAACTCTTCTTCCTAGAGCGCATATCCTTGGTCTAGGGATACCCAGGGCAGAGCGATCTCCCACCATAGTAACCATGGAATTGAGCACTTCTACACTGAGCACCAATGAAATGGAGAACTTTACCACTGGGCACCAACATAAAGAGGTACTTCTCCACAGTGGCGTAACCAGAGTTATGGGCGCCCGGGGCAGAAAAAAAATTTGATATACATACCAGGTCCTCAATTATGTACAAGCACTCAGCGATCACTGATCGCTGAGTGCTTGTACCCGCTCTCCTCTCTGACACGCTGTCATAGGAGGCTGCGAGAGGAGAGCCCAGCCTCCTGTGACAGCGCTGGCTGTCTCCGCCCCCACACCGCTTTGCCGCACTGTGATAGGCGGCCGAGCGGTGTTGGAGGAAAGACACCGGCCGCTCACAGCGCTCTCGTCCTGCATCGCTCGGCCGGCTGTCACTTTCTCTCTTCCCCGCTGGGACACAGAGCAGCGCCCAGCGGGCATGAAAGGAATCACGGCCGCGCCGACTAAACGGCAGGAAAATGTCACTTTCAGCATTTAGCCGAAAGTGCAATTTTCGGCCGGCGCCCCCCCTTCACTTTTCGCCCGGGGCCTGCGCCCCAGCTGCCCCCCCGGTTGTTACGCCACTGCTTCTCCACTGTACACAAATGCAAGAGGGCATTTTATCACTGACAGCCAATGTAAGGGATCACTTTTCCTTGGAGCACAAATGCAGTGGGGAACTTCACCACTGGGCACCAACATCAAGGAGCACTTCTCAACTGGCCACCAGTATAAGGAGGGCACTTCTTTACTGACCACAAATGTAAGGGGGGCACTTCTCTACTGGCCATTAATGTAAGGGGGCATTTCTCCTCTGAACACTAGAGGCGAACTTCACTGCTGAGCACCAAAATAAGGGGTACGTCTCCAATGATCATCAATGCAAAGGGGTGTTTCACCAGGGACCACCAACCTGAGGAGAACTTTACCAAAGTTGATCCCTTATGATGCCCATACTGCCGGAACTTCCTAAGTTAAATCTCTATGTGATTTTGTGGAGACTACACTAGAGTGTAAGTTAAAAGGTAACAAAAAAGAGTGGGATAGTTTTTAAAAAAATCAGATGTAGAACGCTACAAGGACTACTTCTATGAATAATGTACCTGGAACAAAGTTAGTCTCAACTGGGGGTCCCCTTGTAGAACACAAGGCTCAGCTGGGTGGAGGCACTATGGTTAAAGTTATTCTCTGATTCCAGGTTCCCATTTAGCGGAGGCTCAGGATCTCCATGTTACTAACATGTATGCAGCGGTAGCTGATTGGGGAGAGGGTCATCTCATATGACCTCCTCCCCCCCCGAAACAGGCCTACAATCACAATACGACTCAAGAAATTAATCCAAAAGAAAAGTTCATACACAATCCTTAAAGTGCAAAGGGCGAGTCACTCAATTAGCAACAATCTATTTGAAGAAAGAGAGTCTATCAGTGCATCCAGTGATCCTCAAAGTGATGAGATGTTGATTGATTGATTGATTGATTGAGATATGCATAAAATATTCTCAAGTGGCACCTCTCCCCATCCGTGTGCGACCCAAACAACACAGACCCCCATTAACCAAATATGGCGGACCATTAAAGAAACGATGGTCATTTGCGGACTGGCTCCATCAACAAAAGTCTACTAAAAAGATGATTTTTGTAGAATGGTGAGGTGCCAACCGGGCCACACACTGGTCAAATGTCAGCTGACTCAGCAGGATGGCTGAAATGTAACCTTCTCCTACCCTACTAAAGAAAAGAATGATTGTTTCTGTCTGCTTCGTAGTTTGAGAGTTTCCTCACTTCCTATCTGGTAAAATGTTTTCAGCGGGACAGGAAGTGAGGGGAGATCTTTAGGAGCCCCGGAGTGGGATAGTTTAAAAAAAAAATCAGATGTAAAACGTTAGTGAAATGTTTATCATTATTGAGTCGAGTGGTGACAGTCAATGTGCTACAGGAATATACTCACCATGTAGAAGATGCTGAGGTAAACTAGACAACGCCGGGAACCTGAGAATCATATTATAGAAATGATCCAGGAATTTCTTAGAAGCCATCTCTCCCTTCTGGAGTATAATGTCTATCATCTTCTCAGTTCTCATTCTGGGATCCTCAACATACTGGAGATCAACGTATTCCTCCAGAGATAAGAGATGGAGGAAGTCCAGCTCATCACACAAGCCATCCACATCCTCCTCGAATATCTCTACAAATCTCTTCCTCAGCCGTCCTATAGTCTGTGACACTTCCTCCGGAGACGACATGTTGGGAGCTCTGTAAGTAAATATAAAGAACACAAATATAAACCACAATCATGTGTAGCTGTAATTGTACCATGTCCAGGAAATGGTGGATAATATAATATTCATAGAAAGTAGTATTAGACAATATTTTGGGTTTCTTGGATGAACTCGATGGTTCTTTTTTTTCAGCCTGAATAACTATATAATTACAATATGTAACCTGAAATGTCCACACCACTGATGTCTTCATCCTCCACAATGCTGCTTCTTTATCCAATATATAACTATAGATACAATGGCATCTTATACAGAGAGCATTGTTCTATCAATTACTCCATCACCAACATAAGACAAGGCAGACATCGTCACCATATTTTAGCTTACTGATCCAGCACTGCTTCCTCCTCCACCATCTGACAAGAAACACACTGTCACCTTACATACAGATTACTGATCCAGCACTGCTTCCTCCTCCACTATCTGGCCAGACACACACTGTCACCTTATATACAGATTACTGATCCAGCACTGCTTCCTCCTCCACTATCTGGCCAGACACACAATGTCACCTCATATACAGATCACTGATGCAGCACAGCTTCCTCCTCCACTATCTGGCCAGACACACACTGTCACCTCATATACATATCACTGATGCAGCACAGCTTCCTCCTCCACTATCTGAAAAAATCAGATCAGTGATCAGAAGGTATATAGTGATCGGAGGTTATATAGTAATGGGTAGTGATGGGCCAAACAGGCCCGAGTTTGGTTCGAATTCGAACTTTAGAGCGTCCAAGAAGTTTGAATTTTAATTTGAACTCAATGAAAGTCTATGGGGGGTAGAACTTTCAAAAACAATTGTCCCCTTTAAGAGGGCTTAAATGGAAGTTATTGGCCCTGGAAGGTGTCCGGGTACTGCCCTTGGGGACATGTATGGGGGTCTGGGTACTGCCCTGGGGAACATGTATGAGGATCTGGATACTGCCCTGGGGAACATGTATGAGGATCTGGATACTGCCCTGGGGAACATGTATGGATATCCGGGTACTGCCCTGGGAGACATGTATGGATATCCGGGTACTGCCCTGGGGGACATGTATGGATATCCGGGTACTGCCCTGGGAGACATGTATGGATATCCGGGTACTGCCCTGGGAGACATGTATGGATATCTGGGTACTGCCCTGGGGGACATGTATTGGGATCTGGGTATTGCTCAGGGAGACATGTATGGGGATCTGGGTACTGCCCTGGGGGACATGCATGGGGATCTGGGTACTGCCCTGGGGGACATGTATTGGGATCTGGGTATTGCCCAGGGAGACATGTATGGGGGTCTGGGTATTGCCCTGGGGGGACATGTATGGGGATCTGGGTACTGCCCTGGGGGGCATGCATGGGGATCCGGGTACTGCCCTGGGGGACATGTATTGGGATCTGGGTATTGCCCAGGGAGACATGTATGGGGATCCGGGTATTGCCCTGGGGGACATGTATGGGGATCCGGGTATTGCCCTGGGGGGACATGTATGGGGGCCCGGGTATTGCCCTGGGGGGACAGGAATCAATTAAAAAAACAGTTTTTAAAGGAGCAGTGATTTTAACATTGCTTAAAGTAAAACAATAAAATGAAACATTCCTTCAAATATGGTGCCTGGGGGGTCCCGTTAACCTGCCTGTAAAGTGGGGGATCTGTACGATGTATAGAGCCTGCTGCAGAAAAACTGACATTTCTGAAGAAAAATAAAAAAACATTTTTTTTTTTTTTGAAGCGTGCGGTTCCCCTTCCCAAACTATACCAAACCCTTTAGGCCTGGTAGGAATGTTAGGAGGGACCATTTTTTTTTTTAAAAAGCGTGGGGTTCCCCCTGAAAGTCATACCAGACCCTTAAAGTCTGGTAGGAATATTTAGGAGGGACCCCATGTAAAAAAACAAAACAAAAACAAGTGTCATGAAGTTACATGCTGATTGGAAATGATCTCTCTGCAGTCTGAATACTGTAAATGAAACCTGCAGGGCTGCTACAGAATATTATATTATATTAACTAGTCAACAGTAAAGTTATTCTTATAAGAAACCGCATTTCATAACGACATAACACTACAACTACTTGACATAGTGACATCATCTCACAGAAGGAAATATGAAATCAGATTAATATATACGATGAATGTACAATGATACATGGAACATGTGATCTGTGGAATCTAATGGAGGAGAAGAAGGAATTGTGTGTAGGGTGTAAGTTCTGTACTGACCTTCCAGCCATGGTCCTGTTATGCTGAGCGGAGATCTCCGTGTGGTGTCATTCAGCGACGTTCTCTGATAATTTATAGAGACAATGAAAAGAGGAAATGCCGAGCGATTCCTGAGAAATGAAACTAGAAACCTGGCCAGGGAACCAATGATTGCTTAGCCAAGGTAATTTGTTTGCTCAGCGATGGGATCAGATCCCGGCTCCTTCTAGTGGAGATAAACACGCCCAGCTCCGTCCACTGTACAGGGAAATGAATTTCTACGTCTTATTCATCCTATTCCTACAATGTAACCTTTTATTATTCAACTGAAGTGTCTGTCAAGGCAAAAACATCTTTTCTAGTTTTGGATGGAGTGGGGAAGGATTGGAACCCCCGGCCGGATTTCACTGCTTTCCAGGACTCCGTTACTGAGATTTTACTTCTCTTTGTGTCCCAAAATCAGTGAAATCAGTTTTCCCAAACAGGAAGTGAAGGAAAATCTGCAATCAAAACACGGACAGGAACAGGCCAGGGTACCACTCTTCCTCTACTTTACTAAAAGAAGTATATTAATAAATGGACAAGCAAATAAAATGTCACCTGTTAATGCAATATGCATCTACAATCCAGAAATTGCCCTTGCAGTAATTTGTTCTGCCACTAGATGTCCTCAGTCTGGTGCCCAGCATCATTCAACCCACTTCCTCTGAGCTCAGGTCATCCTAGACCCACCCCTAGCCTCTGACTGGACAGTGAAAGGAGAAGCAGCACATCCATGGGGTCATCTCTCCTTCACTCTGCTCTCCTCTCCTATTAGCATGTTTCTTGTCAGGACATGAACTGAGTGGCCTCTATGTGATGTGTGTGTGTCCCCCCCTTCAGGGCTCTGCTGTACAGGGACTACAAGAGGCTGACACCAGCTCCCTTACACTGCTTGAATTAAAAAAAAATACCTTTAATAATGTGTTATGCACTATTGTGCACTATTTTTTGCAATTGCAACGCTCTGGAACGCAGGCATTGCGGTACCACGCGTTGCGGTGCGGGTGATCAAGGGTGGGAGACGTGTTTGTGGTGCCATTGAAATGAATTCATCCGCGCAATATTGTGGGACATCAGGATCAGGATGGAGATGTTTTTATTCCATAGGTTCTCCGCATTCAGACAATACATGATTTCGGGGGTTGGGTGGTCCTCCGTGGATGTCCAGCTTCCTTAATGTGCATCGTTGCATGTGCAGAAAACAGGAAAACTATCCGGCAGCAAAATGAAACATTAAGGGGGCTATTCACTATGGAGCCGAAGGATCCATCTGTAGCTTCGGCTGCTCCTTCGGCTCTCTTCGGCCGTCAGAACCGAAGAGCTGCTGTACGGGCTATTCGCTATACAGCAGCCGAGCCAAACCCATATGCTTCGGCTCGACTGAGCTGAAGTGACAGCCAAAACATGGAGAAGGGTCGGCCAACGCCGACCTATCTCCACGCAAATGACAGCTGGGTGGAGCCAGCCGTGATCTCACGGCTGGCTCCGCCTAGTTGTAATGACAGATCAGCGTCCCCAAATGACCTGGGGATGCTGAACTGTCATTAAACAATAACAACTGTGACATCACAGCCGACTCCGCCCAATTGTTATTCATTGGTCAGTACCTGCTAGAGGACTCTGGCTGGTGTCAGCCAATATCAAACAGTTAGGCGGAGCTAGCTGTCACCACTAGATCCGCCCAATTGTTCTTGTTTTTTTTTTTTTTTTTCTTAAAAATATTTTAATTTTATTTTTAATTTTCTTATTTTTGATCATTTTTTTCACTCTTTTCACTTATTTTCTATTCTGCTCGGTACCACGGAGGTACCGAGCCGAATAGCCAAGCTGAATACCGCTCAGCAACATTCGGCTATTCACTCACTACCGTTCGCCCCCTATGAGAATACGGCTAAGCCGATCCAGATGTTGGACCGCCTGAGCCGAAATCCTTCTGCACTTCGGCTCAGCCGAACATACAGAGCATGTTCGGCTGACCGAAGGCAGCCGACGTACGGCTGATTTTAGCCGATGTACGCCTGAAATTAGACGCACTGAGCTAGGAGTGAATAGCGGAACAGCGTTCAGCTCACTTCCCTTCGGCTGGGTTATACGCTCGGCTGCCTTCGGCTCGTTAGTGAATAACCCTGTCAGTGAAGAATTCTAAAGAATGAAAACTCTTTATATAAAAAGAAATAAAACTCTCCGTCACTTTCATTGTCACTCAGATATCAGACAGCGGAAGGTGAAGGATCTCCTGTTTTTTTTACTTTTGTTTCTGAGAAGAGGAAACATGTTATTTTGTTGCGATCTTTTGTCACGTTGTGTTTTCTATCGCACTGCACAATCCTAACGAGGAAAAGATGATTCCAGATAACTCTTTGTCTGTATTGTGCTCTTTATTTCACCCAAAACATCTCCGGAGCAGCTGAACAGAACTAAGCTTTAGGCGGCTCAGTCACTGGAAACAAAACAATCCGGGGAAACGAAACTGAAAGTTCAGTCATTGGCCCGGGGCATGGGCGGCATCCGGCCAGACAACAATAACAAGCAGAGCGCTCAGCCTGTGACAGGGTGACATTTATATGTTTACTGTGTTACTTCCTGCTAGCTTTAGCTACAGCACCAATACATTCCCCCGGGGACCAGAGAAACTTTTATATTTTAGCTATGGGGCTACTGGC